GCTGTGGCGCTCGGCGCTTGTGAAGTGCTACTGGGGTTGGCCTGTTGGGCTGAAAGTTGGGATAACTGATCGCTGTTTGAAAGAGATTTTAACAGTGCGTTTTCTCGTTCAAGTAAAGAGTTTCTTTCAACTAATTCCTTTATTTGTTCCTTCAGGACTTCCACTTCTTCTCTCACTGCGTACATCAAATGGCTTTTCACCAGATCCTGCGGAGAACAACGGAACAGTTACACCGGGGCAAAGGACAGCTTCGCTCCACTCCGACCCCAGGAGTTACTATTTTACTGCTTTCACTGAAGGAAGCGGGAAGCCTTGAAAACTAAAGCACCCGTCACTAACACATGGAACTAAATTAGCCCTCCAGAGCACGTAACTCAGCTCTCCAACCCGCTGTGAAGCAGCCCTCACGCCAGCAGCTTTCATTCCAGCACCCAGCACTAACTTCTAGTCACCTCCGTTACACTGAAGGCAAGGACTAGAATTACGTACTCGGCAGCTCTGACCCAGAGGCAGGAGTCGGCGCCGAGGCATACAAAAACCGAAAAATAAGAGAGCCTCTAAATCAGCAGAGGCACAAGTCACACAGATGTAAGCAAAGCCAAAAAAAGTCACGGATGACACAGTGTAAGGGTCAGGTAAGAAAAACCAGCAAAGAACTGCGTGCTACTTAATTACAGCACTGCCTTAAGGTCAGTCAGGTTGTTCACAGAAATTTCTAGGAAAAGTCATTTGGGAACACTTCTGGGCCAACAGTAAAGGCAGCCGTGGCTTGTGGTCATCCCACCCCAGCTAAAGGGAGAAACACAACACAGCTGGAAACTCGTGCTCAGTGACAAACCACTAATCCTAGCGGAAATAACAACGTATTTTTTACTTACCATTGCCTGTTCTATTTTGTTGTCAATGGCAACAACACTTGCACCAGATGCACTGTAAATAGAAGAAGAAAACTTTGTAAGCGCTACTGGACCGTCTGATTAGGAGTGCACACCCACAGGCAGCTGTGGCGCTCGTACAACGAGCTTCACCAGAGGGCTAAAGCTTCAGATCCAGGAACTGAACACACAACCCACTGTAGTGCCTGGTACAGCCAGAGCTCTTACGAGACACGGCTCCTTCAATTTGTCATTCTCCAGACTACGCTTAAGATGCCCATAACCAGAAAAAAGCCTTAGAATGAACAGCAGATTATCTGTGTTGTCTCCTTGCCTCATTTTTCAGCTTTCTTCATGAGAGAAAGCAAGGATGCACGGGATATTTGTGGTGCTCTTATCTCTAGTCTCTAGTCTTACTTCTGCTAAATTGCTTTTATAAAGCATAAAAGAAAAAAAAAAGTCAAAATACTTGCTTTCTGGCTTTACCTGAAGACTGCTTTCCAGTTACAAAGTTCCTGGATCAGCACTGTATCTACAGCTCCGCAGCTGAGCGGGAGCAGCCGGCCGACGAGCAGGACAGGACCAAAGCCCCGATCTCCACACCCGCACCGACACAGCTCGGTGAATCCTCCCTGGGTTGCTGAAAACCCCCGGAAGCGCCTCGCAGTCCTTCTTCGTGAGGGTCAGCCCCGCTCCAAACACACGCAGCACAGAGCCCTCCAACACAACACCTCAGCCACCGCTGCAAGAAGTCCAGTTCCCAGGGGTTGAGCTACATTTTTACATCCCCGGTTACGGCAACGCAGCCCCACAGCCGTGGACACGCTCGGTCCCTCACCGTCTCTCCAGGCTGTCGGGCTCTGTGCCCGACCCCACGCGGCAGCTCCAGGACTCTCTGCCAGCCCCGCTGGTGATAACCGCTGATAATGCTCCCGCAGCCGCGGAAGGTGCTATCAGCAGCGTGCAGCTACGTTCAAAAAAAGCCAACGCACAGGAAACAAGCAAGGTTTGCAGCCATGCTTGGAAACGCGCCTCGCTGAAAAATACCTAACACTCGCTGAAACCAAGAAAAAACTCCTTAAGGCATTTAAAAACCAGTATTGACAATGTGCTCAGCAGCATTAATTACACACGTGAAAGGAAGCTCAACTATTGAATGAATACGACACCATTTAGAGAGATCCATTTGAACAAGCCTCAAGAATTGTCAGTACCTAGCACCAAGCGCTTCCAAGCAGAGGGAATCAGCTTTTAGGACTGACGGAGTAACAGCCCCTACATCTAAACTGAACAAAGCTCATAATCTAAATCCAATGTGCTGGAACAAAACTGTTCCAGTGTCTTACTGTCTTCCAAGCCTTCAAAGGAAGCCACGCTCATGATAAACCTCCTCAGAAAAAGAAGTACTTGTAATTCACAATAAGGTCAAGTATTCCTTCCCATTTTGGATTAATTTGCTTCAGATCTATCTGAACCTGACAAAAAGCCATCAAAATCCCCACCCTGCTCCATGTCCCTGGCATGGCCTTCCATGACCAGGACCCACAGCTCAGGCCAAGGAGCAGCACACTGCAGAGGGACCTGCTGCTGCACCCTTGCAGTGCCACTACACACCTTCTGTCGGTGCTTTCCTAGTCACACTTGGGACCGAGACTTCTCTTCTTGTTTCAAGCACTTTGCAGCTTAGTATGTTTTCATTCTTTTTGAAAAGAAACTCCAGTCCATTTCCCTGCTCATCGTTCAGGCACTCGATGGGTTCGGTGACAAAGCCTCCGAGGCGGCAGAGGGGCCGCCTGTGCCCTGCACGGTGCTGCGGCAGCACCTCTCCCACCCCGCACCTCGGGCTCCACATTCTCACCTGCCTTTGGAGGGTACAGAGAACAAGAGCTGTCCCTCCCCATTCATGGGATGTGAATTCAGCCAGAAAAATCTATCGGTCTCACTCCTATTTTGCACTTTTCCAGCGCAGACAGTGCTGGAAGCCCCAAGCAGTTCACAGGGTGCTTTTGTCTGTTTGGGTGCTCCCCTGGCCCGTACCCCCAGCAGCCCGCGCTCCTGCCCAAGCTGTGTGCCGGGAGCCCAGCCCTGCCTCCTGCCCAAATCCTGGCACGCACCCTAGGAGGGGGTCCCTGTGGAGCAAGTGACCTTCGGGTCAGACGTGGCTTTAGCCTCACGACAATATTTCACTTTCTAAAAGCATACGAGATTTACATTTTCTGCTGCCACAACTCCCATATGATTCTGTTCTTGATTTGTTTTTACAGTGCTCCCCTCAACAAAAGCTGCTGTGAGACACCCTGAAGCGGGGTGCTCCCGTGCCAGCCAGTCTCATGGTACAGTCCAAACACGCTGCCAAGTCTTAAGATTTTCTATTTTTCCTCAGATCCTTGGCTGTCGATATCAAATCTCAGTTTGCATAAAAATATTTTATCCCATGACTGCAGAATGAAATTTATATATGCAATCCAATCCTTATGAAAAGGCCAGGGAAAAAAAACCAAATCAAATATGTTAACTAAGTCTTTTTGGATGTCGTAAGCATCCATCAAACTGAAATTTCATACTTTCTGTGAGCGTGCCATCGGCTGTACATCCAGCGCCTCAAATTCTTGCGTTAGAAGTGGAAAGACCAACTGCAGTGCTGTGCAGTGACACAAGGTTGATTGCTCCAGGAACTACACAAGCCTGACAACTATTGTCAGTCATAACACACAAACAAAACTCCTCATCTAGTAACACAGGACAGTTGAAGGGATGTATGCAACACTTTTTTTTGTAATTGCAAACTTCCCACCCTTCCCTCAGTCTGGGCTTTCGCAGCCACCCAGCTGGCACACAGACACCAGGCGGCTCAGGAGAACGGCTCGGTCCGACTCGCATCGCCAAGTTAGGGCGACGCAAGCGAGGGCTCTCACCCAAAAGCTCATACTGGTACACCAAGATACCTCTGAAGCCTATCAAGCACCAGGCAAGACCTAGAGCCAGAAAAAGTGACAAAGATGACCAAGTACACATCACCCTTTCCAGACATGGATGGTAAAACCCAGCATTTTTCTGCCTTACACACCAGACGGATAAAACCCTATATAATCTGGAAATCCTCATTTTGGCTGTTTTAAAAAAATCCTACTGGCTTAAATGCATTTTTTTTCCCCACAAGTCACTTTGAAATCTCAAAGGTAGAAAGGCAAGGAATCAAGCTTCAAAATAAAAGCAGCTTAATTCACTCTGTACGCTTAAAAAAAAAGAACACAATGGTTCATTTTTAGAGATTCCACAGTAACGTGTGTATTTCATGCCAACATCCATGAATTAGCAATGTGAGTTATAAAGAGTCCTGCTTTAGCACTGTGAAGCACTAGACTAGGTAACAGCATTTCACATTTAGGTGAGACTGCAAGTCCTACCGACTGCATGACTTAAGTCAGTTTTGAAGCTTCAGAGTTTTTAGTCACTAACAAAAACCATACTCTGGGCTCAGCTGTATTACTCACTACCTGCACACTACTTACCCCAGGAACTTCTTGGCAGCAAGTCACTCCCCAGACTGCCAGAATGCATGAGTTTTCTTGCTCTTGGTATTTCTAAATTTTAGCATCAGGTGTACCCGTGTGACTCACCTCACGCTTTTAGATCCGTAAACCCCATCACTGACCATCGCTACTCCTGCTAATCCAGACCCGAGCGCAGCAGGGCACACCAGTGCCAGCAGAGTCCTGTCCAACAGCCTCTATATGACAACGCTTCCTTTAAAGCACAGCATCTGCTTTGCTTTAGGTGGAAAAGATGTAGCACACCACAGTCTGAATCAAAAGCTCTCCCCTAGTTCGTTCTTCGTTACTGCTTTAAACCAAATTGTCAAGCATGTTTCCAGAAGGAACATTAAGGTACCTTGAAGTGCTCCCATGTTTGTTTTGCCTGCAGGAGAGCTACAAACGAAACAAGTGTGTTAATTCATCCTTTCCCCTCACTGGTTTACTCATTTATGAGCTACTTCAGTCACTTAACCAGCCACTCTTCATATCTTACCACCAGCTGAGCTGTTTAGCCCGTTCAGAGAAACCCCACCTACTCCTGGAACAGGTAAGACACATTTATTTAACCTCAGTCCACCTACGAGACATGATGACAGCTTCCCAAAACAACCGACTATCCAGTCTTGAAAGTATCTATGCAAGTATTTCAGATTTTCATCATCATTCTTTGTCAAAGCCACACGAGAACGTGAGAAAGTTTGAGGCAGTGAATTTGCAGCCTGGGGATCCCCAGCGAGTACCCGGCCGTCCCTGCCAGAGTGCTCCAGCTCCACACCAGTCAGCTCCTCGGTCAAACACAGACGTCCTGCCTTCGACAGCAGAGTCTTCAGTCTTACATGAAGCTCTCGAGATCAATTATTCAATACAACATCATAACTGATGTTGTGACAACTTTGTAAGTTAGAAGAAGGCACGAGCTCTGCAGAGGACAGACTGCTTCCAGGGCAAACAAACATGTTGAGCTGAACTGGTTTAGGTTTGGGGTTTGTTTGGTTTTTTGATGCTGAAGTTCTGCTGGTTTTGCTAGGATTGAGTTACACTAGTGAACCAAACACTCTTCCACATGCATGAGGCCAGTCACACCGTGCATCACCTCCCTGAGAATGAAGCATCAAGAAGAAACACGTTAAGCACAACACTGACCAGATCAGCGCGTGACGTGACATGTCACCCCCGTCCTACAGCTCTCTTGACTTTTCACACAGAGCTTCAGACTTGTAATTTGAAATCAGAAAAGGTTTCACTCCCAGAAGAACCTTCAGGGAAGGCTACAGTCAAAACGTGAGATGTGCGACTCTTGACTTTCTCCCGTCTGCAGGAAGACCATCTCGATAGAAAGCCACCAAACAGGGAAAGGGAAGTTCAGCAAAAGCCAGCCCATGAAGAGATGCCGTCTAATTCACCACATCTACATGAGGAAGGAAGATTTTTACCAGCAACGCTTAGGACACATTTGTCTGGGTGCTAATGTGGGGAGAAAATCCACGTTTCATGAGTTCATTTACATTGTGAAGGTTTAGTGCAACAGAAACACAAACCCTACCGCTCGCAATTCCGGTTTCCTGACGACGGCTGCGTTTCAGGCAAACTCATCTACAGCTCCTGCGGCACCGTTGGCACACAGAGGAGCAGTCCCCCAGGCTCACGGGGATCCAGCGAGCCACAATTCCCCTTCTCACCACCCGCAGTAACTGTGCTGGCTGAGAAGACAGACCCACGAGACTTGTGCCCTTAGGGACAGCGGCGTGAACGCCACGCAGGGAGAGCACCCACCCCGTTCCTGCAAAGGTCTCAGTAACAACCAGCATTCCACTAACATTTAATGGTTTGAGTGCTACCAGCACTCTTCCCTGCCATGGTCTCTATTTGATTTTAGCAGAGCAATTTAGCAATATTTACTGTCTACCACAGCAGAATGTGGCCAACTTTGCTGACTTCAAATGGTTCCAAGAGAAGGCTGCTCATAGGAAAATAATTTGTATTATTAGGAAGAAAAAAACCCAATCAAAACCTGAAATTACAAGGGAAGATTTTCTATTATGTTTACAATAAAGTCTCCTAACTCAAGCCACTGAGGTTCACAAAATTCTTCCAAAGGAGCTGCAAAACGTAATTAAAGACGCTCCTGCCAGCAGGCAGGAGGTCCCCATGTCCTGCAGCACTGCGTGAGCCCCCACCGTGCGACGGGGATACAAAGGGGTTCTGAGCAAATCAGAAGGCAAGAAGAAGCAGTTATGTTTTTCACAGCTGAGATTTCTCCTTCACAAGGCAGAGATCACAAAAAAGCCCCAAAGGGCTTTACCGCTGGGCACGGCTGCGGGCTGGCAGCGGGGATGCCACCTCCCTGGCTGGCCTGGCCTCACCTCCCAGCTCCCGCCATCAGGTTTTCACTGGAAGTTTACGGGTGAAAGCTTTTCACTTTCAGTCACCTACTACAGCAAAACTACAAAAACATGATCTTAAGAAAATCTAATAACTGGGCTATAAATGCAAAACCCGCTAAACCACATCAAAGTCTTGGGAACCTGAACAGAGTAGAAGTTTAAAACTTCCATCAATCCTCCTGAGCGAGCCTGTTTTTACAAATACTTGCTTTTACCACAAAGTGTTGAACAGCAAAGATGCAAGACTATTTTAAAAGAAGCTCTTTACATTCTTTTACATGAATTCAATGTTTTTCTATATCCCACACTTCCAGTACTCACTTCGCACATGGTACATAAACCTCAGATTTGTGAAGCCTCCATCTGAACGACTGTTTGAGTTTTTTTGAATCAGCTTCCTCATCTCAAGAATTATTTAAAGTTGAGACACGAAAATAGAGAAACAGATGAAGGCTAGACCTTAAAGTACCCTCTCTGTCTACATACCAAATTTGTATTCCAAACTCTGAAGTTTGTTTCAGTTAAACAATGACCAACTCCATCCCATAACTACAGGAAAGTTGTATTATCCAGAGCTTAAGGCAAAAATGCAAATTTGTCCCAAGTTTCTGCTAGGAAATGAAGATGTGCTTTTGAAACAGCCTAATGCTAGCACTTCAGCAATTAAAAAAACAACAAACAAAACCAAGGATGCACTAGCATTACTTTTAACGGTCAGTGTTGTGCAGGATACAAATGGTTGCCAAGCAAACTTTAAAGGATTCGGTTAAGCTTTGCAAGTTGAAAAGCCTCTCAAGCCAAACGTAGCCAGTACAACGATGAAATAGTTATCAATACTTCAATAGCTTATCAAAATGTATATGCTACAGACCTTGTTAAGCAGAAGTATTGTGACAAGGCAGCGCACCACAGGCATGAAGTCACACAATCGCTAGGACTTCAACTTAACGCTGACATTAAAAACAGCTCCTTCAAAACCATTAAAGTGCAGGAAAGAAACAAGTTTGCAGCTACTGATGAATTAGCAATGCACCTCCGACAAGTCCTCTCTGCGAGGGACAGGGCTTTGCTGCACTTCCCTGCAGCTTCTCACCACGAGTTCAATGCTGATTTAATAGATTCATTTCATCCCCGTGTCTTGTCACGGTTCACATTTGTTCCCCATCTAGCTTTACTTAAGCACAATGAAAGCAAGCCAGAAAGCTTCCTTTCCTGGTTTTGAGAACGAAAGAGTTTTACTTAGCCAAAATTGTGTTTAAATACAACATTTTCACAACTTGCTTGCTGGTATAGAACTCAATAGCCACAGTGACAAAGTTTACTTTTTTTTTTTTCCCAAAAAGGAAGCTGTAAGTATTTTGGTGAAGGTCAGCTAGTAGCGGACTAGCATTAAACTCTTTCAGCTTACACATTATGTGTGATACATGCATAATGGAAGAAGAACAAAAAGTCATGTCATACTTTAGACTTAGTTTTAAATTTCAGTACGAATACCTCACTTCCATGACTGCTCTCAGCCCTCCAGGCTGCAGAAGCTCTAACTGCAAGCAGCGGTTCTGTGCAAACGAAAACGCAGAGAAACTTGCATAGAGCGAAGCTGCCCATGCATACCTCAGCACGTACGCATTCCATACTTAAGCATTTCCATACCTATCCCAGAAGGTCTTTGACTCGCGTAACTTGTTGAAATGGAACGCTTGGTAGAATGCAGCTGACGGATTCCTATGAGATCCAAGAATCAAACAGACATATTGAAAATGGGCGCGTAACAAAAATACTCACTCTCTTATTCAACCTGCATTACAAAGTAAATGAGCTGTTTCTACGGGTTTCTGTGACAGACGTACTCATTCAAAAAGAAAGAAGTAATCCTCGAGCCCTATGGATTTTCACAGTATTCCAAGTTGCTACTGTACAAAGACGCCTGTAAGGCCATTAACACAACATCTCGTGTCGCGCTGATACCTTGTGCAGGTAAGCCGTGTGCCGCTCTAATGCCACACACACCGAAAGTCAAATGACGCCTTTCACGTTCTTCCTATGTCACCAAACGTCTCTGTCGTCAGCAGCCAGCATTTCCCTTCTCCTCGGCACCCTGCTCCATGCTCAGAGCACCCCAGTTCTGCAGGAGGACCCAGGTGTCAGAGCTAAGTGTGCCACATCCAAGGGAAGGACGAGGCCCAAGCTCTTCTTGCTAACTCCCTTGTCTGCCAGGAGCACATAAGTCTCCTCCTTGGAAAGAGACTGTAAATAGAAAGTCTTCCAAGATAAATTTACTCGCAGCATATAAAACCCTGTTGCTATTGTTAGGTATGAGAAGTTGCAGTTTATAACCACACAGTGTGTATTTCATAAGGTCTATTTTTATATTGATATTTGCTTGAGAATAGTACAAGGTTGTGCAGCATATGGGGTATCTGGAAAGGCATGAAAACATCTTCCTTGTGAGATTTTCATCTGTAACCCCTGCTGCTGAAACTGCATTTGCATTACTACAGATAATTACGAGAACACCTTCTACTCTGTAGCTATATTCTAACAAGATGTTAATTGCAGGGGGAGGCACTACCTAAACAGGAAAAACAAACCCAGAAGTAACATGAATGATGCCTAATGTGCAGGTCTGAACTAATACAGTTGAGTTTCAGACTGTCGAGGCATTATTTTAAACCACACCAAACACTGAAAAGTTAGAGAACTACTAAAAACTCCTATCAGTTTGCAGAAACAGTTGAGAAAACAGCTGACAGAAGTAGCATAACTCAGCCTGCTGAAACACCAGAAGTCCTTCGGACACTGCCCTAACCGAGCGCAGGGACAGCCTCGACCAGAAAAGCAGATTCCTTGGGTCCCCTCCCCGACCAAATGCCGGCAGATAGAGCCGTGCTCTTCAGCCACACTTATCAAAAAAGAGATGCTAGTATGTTATTTTGTAGATCTACATTACTTCTGCAGTGCCAAAAGTGAAGTAAACACTTTGAGACAAAGAAGTGACTCAAAAATAGCCTAAAGATGAACTTGGCAAATAAAAGTATTCAGCCTTTATGCAACACCAGAACTATTACTTAATGATCAAGAGACCTGACTGTCAGCACACAGTCTGAGCTTACTTAGGAGAACTATCAGCACACACAAATGTGGTTTTACTATGGTGATAAGTAAGGAAACAAGGCTTCAAAACAAACACAAAAATACCAATCAGAAGGAAGAGCCATCAACTGCCCAAATCAATGCCCACCAAAGGATGACAACAAACTCCTCCCTAGTTTCTAACGCTTGTAAAAGGCTGGATGTGTTACTACCCTGATGCATTTCAAACCCCAATTAGTTTTCAGTTGTACGTCTCACTAATCACCAACAACAGGCTGTGTTTAGCCAGGTCACTAGCCATGCCCTGCAAAGAAACCTGATTACAGCTGGTCTCCAAACAGAAATACTTGGCATTTATTTGGGACCTGAACCAGGCAGTTTGCAATCACTTAATTACACCTTATCAGGAAACTCCCTGCAAGGGTTACAGTATTTCAAGGTGACATTTACACTATTAACAGAATTCCTTCCCCATCCCTCTTCTTTCAAAAAACGTTCCACTTTTTTTTTTTATTTATATTGCCTTCTATTCAAGGCAACTGCAACTTTGAATCAGCTTTATTTCTTAAGACTTCACCCACAAAACAGAGTAGATAGATGGAGTACAAAGCTTTGCGGGGGAGAACTGACAAAGACCAAGCGTAAGGAAGTCAATGCGGAATTAAGGGAGAAAAATCTTAAAGCTCTTAAGTTTCGTGTTTAATTACATATTCTGTTTGTGTAGTTTCTTAAAGCCGTTACACCTGAAACACAGACTCTGGAAAACCAGCAAGAATTGGATGCTGTTGCACTCGGTGTGAGGTGCCTTCTAGCTACAGACGACAGGAAGGGCCAACCCGACTGCCAGCCCACACAGCAGCTCGGGGACAGCACCTCCGAACCACCACCACGGACTTCACAGGGGTTCACAGGCCACTTCCAGAGGAGAATACTGTAACAGCGGGGAGAAGGCACACTGCAAGGATCTGTTCTCCACCGGAAAAATCAAGAGATACAGAAATTTAAGTGCTAAAAATCACCACACAAGGACATGCTTAAGGGCAGTTTTGTAACTGAATTGAAGAGGAAGGAGCTGAAGAACATCCAGGTGTACCACACAGCCGCGAGCAAGGCAGGGCCAGCAGCAGCAGCACTCGGTTTCAGTCGCTTTCAAACTACACGCTCCCTCCCAACACTTCAGAAACCAGGAAAATCACTTTCAGGTAACTTTGCTGAGAGAACTAAATAAAGATATCACCTGGAATAAAACAGGAGAGCCTGACAACAGCAGCTCCTTTTCAACCGTCCGCACCTCCAGCTCCTGACGGCTGGATTTCAAGCATCAGAACAGAAAGAACTAGACTTCCCACAGCAAAGATCAGAGCGGCCGCCCAGACTACCTTCACCTTGCTCTCAGAAGAGGATTGAGGACTCAGCTCTCTGACAGAGACATTGGTAACACTTTTCAGTCCCTACGAATGCCATGGAAAGGAATAAAAGCGTCTTTACAGAAAACCGGTAATGAGAACGCAGAGCGGACAGAGCAGGTTAGATCAGTGTTGGTAACGGTCAGGTCAGAGGGTTGTAGCACCATTCAGTACCTTTACTGGGAGAGCCCTCAGGTGACAGCGATTTGAGACAAAAGGTGATCTAGCTTCACTTCTGCATTTCCTTATCATCTGAAAAAGTAGCAGCAAGTTTTGTTCCCTCTCCTCCCTCAATGGATTTGATTACTGGCTACAAAAGATCTATTAATATTATCCATATTTGGATGAATTGAGACAGGCTTAGGGAAAAAAAATACTTCTTGAAAATAACTTAGATGTTCTCAAACAAACACCTTGAACTCACAATGGATGGAGTCCTCCAGCATCTATTGTAATTTGCCAGTCACCATCACTACGCCATGTTACTCTGGTGCAAGTCATCCCCTTCAAGACAGCAAACTTGGAATGCATTTAAAAAGCAGACCCTAATATGCTGGATGAAAGGAGGGAGGGTGGTAAAAAACAAATTCCGTATTTCTGAATTGAGGAGATCCACATTCGCTAGTATCACACGATACACGCAAAAATTTGGAAGAGATGTCAAAACTCTTAAAAATAAACATTGACTTCTACACAACTTAGCTGGTAAAGAAACAGGCATTTATTAATACGTATGAAGATGTTATTCCAGAGGATTAGGCTCCTACTGCCTGCTCTGGCCACAAAGATTTCCTTAAACCTACTGAGGCAAGGGAAAGCTGCTTGTCATTACTGGTGAAAGTGGCCTTGCATGGCAGCACAGCTGGCTTCAGTATTCATCTTCAAAGAAACCAGCTCAAAAATGAGATTTCCCACAGACACACTACGGTGTAGCACAGCAGTTTCAGATATTTCAGTTATCTATAAATACAAGTGGTTCCTATTTTTCTGAAAACAAAATATCTAGGCAAGAAACACAAGTGGAAAAAATGGATTCAAGCAGACTCAGACAAATCCTATCTGTCTTTACTCATGTGACATTGGTCAAGAAAGCACCTACCAGCATACCTTTTAAATTAAATACTTGGCTTTTGAAAGAAAGTATTAGTACCTAGACCATGTATGGCATGGTTTCTTACACAGCTTAAATGTATATATATCTGCCTTTCCACACCATTTCCAAGTTCTTCATAACTCTTCTGGTTTCATGCCAGTCTGCCCTCGGCTGAAGTTCTACCTAGAGCACTGTCAGTATGAGAGCTTGGCTTAAAGAAATATTTTTAAAAAGGCATTTGCAGGGTTGGTCAAGGTATTTTTGGTCCTTGCACCCACCACACAGTGTCCTATATAAGAGACATTCCCGGGAGTTGTCATCTATGCCCCTACAAAAATAGCCAAAATAACATGACAGAGAAAGAAGCAGAATTTTTTTTAACTCTCGTTTTTCATCACCCCACCCTCCAGTAAGCCAAACTCGCTCTAGACGGAGAAAAAATCTTCAGGCACCTCATTAAAACCAGTATCTCATTCCTTATCCGCTCTACACTCCCCCATTGCCACCTCATGCACATGCCACAGTCACCCCCTCCCAAAAACAGAAGGGTCAGGCCCGTGGCCCTGTGGCAGAGGGAGCAGTACCCTGCGCTGGGCAGGTCTGCTCAGTGCCTCCAGGAGGGCAGCCTTGCCCCATCCTCAGCGCCGTGAGGCCAAGCGCCGGCACAGGGCGGTGAAGTCTCCACCCTCAGAGGTGTTCAAAAGCCACCGGGGTGTGGTGACCCTGCTGGAGCAGGGGGCTTGGACCAGATGACCCCCAGAGAACCCTTCCAACCTCGACCGGTCTGCGATTCTGTGACTGGTTTCTGCTGCGGACAGAGCTCCCGATTCCAGTCTGTGATCTTTAATGTCGCACACCAACCAGCCGGCTGTCATCAGGAGGGACAGCTGCCATCTCTCCACGGTACGCTTTTACCTGCTCTCTCCACTATTGCCAGTATTCAAGGAAGCTGTCACGATACAAATGCATTACTCCTAGCTCCAAAGGGAGAATAGACATATACAAAAAAGCCTCTTGGAGTAATTTTTTTGTCATGCAGAATAAAATTAAGATGAGCATTTGGCTGCCCTTCATGTGGTTGAGTAACTCACCTGCCCCGAATGAGCAAAAATAGCTTATCCCATCATGCAGAC